GCACTGCACATCAGCCCAAAAACACCATACCAACAGTGAAGTTTGGAGGTGGGAACATCATGGTGGTCCAGACCTGTCGTATATTTTACGAGCAGTCAGTCTGCTGTTATCCAGACGGGTTTTCCTCCCTAATAACTTTATATTTCATTAGTTTGAAGATATTTTGAGTTGAAAATAAATTACACTCCATGATTATGTTGACAATAGGTTATTCTGTTTAAATTATTACATTTAAAATTATAACTCTAATTCAGACTAACAATATAAATTGTACGTTCGTCCGTTTTCTGCTGCATACGGTGTGTGACGGTGTGGCTTCTGAATAAATGAAAATGATTTAACACAGTTGTTTATATATTTAGCCGCTCCTTTTATTCCACAGCTGACCTGCTAAAACTGACAGATTTTCTTTTCTGGATCTCTGACAGACGGACTTCAATCTCTGAACTCGTAAAGTTCTTCTTTTTAGTTTTCACTGTCATTTTCATGAATGGACACTTCCTTGTATTTGAGGCAGGAAACATAGCTTTATATGGTGTTTTTGGGGTGGTAATTATGCTAATCTCCTCGCGTGCACGAGCAGCTGGATACGAACAGGTGGAATTTATGCAGCTCATTTACACACTTTTCCTGAAGATAGAAGAGTTTGTTGAATCTGACGTGACGTGTTTGCACGAACCCTTTTGTATGAACAACAGTAAGAGAAATTTAGGATAAGAATACGAACATGTTCTTGCATGAGGCCCATTGTGTGTAACACAAAAAACATTCCAAGTAGACGAAATTGCGCTGATTATAGTGTATTTTTTATGAAGCTTCGAGGCAGATAAATTTGCCTTGAGGATTTTTTGTAACCGAATTAGGTACTCGAATTATTCGAGGAATCGTTTCAGCCCTAATGAACATTATTTTGCTATGATGAGCCTCAGTGTTTTGTGAGTTTCACACAGTAAAATAAACTGTATTTTTAAAAATCATTTGTTTTTAATTTCAGGGTTAACAAAGAGCTGAAACACAATAAGCATGGACGTGGTGTCACCAGAACTGAACAGCCTCCTTCCTGATGAAATCATGGATACTGAGGCCATAGAAGACATCCCACACTCTCAGTCTGAGACAGTAGTCCCAATGGAAACGGACGTACCCGTACCAACAGAGAATCTGAGCATCTGTTCAAATGCCACACTGATGGAGCCGACCCAAACTCTGACCACTTCTGCAGCTACAGACTCCACACTCTGTGTCAGTTTGGTTCCATCACCCCTTCTCACCATCAAACCGGCCATGGCTACGTCCACGGCCACAACCAAAACTACCGACAGTGTCACTGGGACCACTGTCTCTGCAGGTGGTTTACAGAAACTCACAACTCAGTTTGCCATCTCTGCTGCCAACCACCAGATCATTCTGAATAAGTTGGCATCGTCTCAGGCCACAGAAGCATCAAAATCTGCAGCTGCTTCAGCCCAAGTCATCAAACAGGAAGGACAGAAACTTCTGGTCACAGCAATAGGAAAGTCTGGACAACCTATAGTGCTTCAGCTACCCCACACAGGCAGCAAACCTGGAGTTTCACAGACTTCAGGAGACACCAAGTTGCAAACACCACAGTTTAAAGTTGTGACCATTGGTGGAAGATCAGAGCTGAAACCGATGGTGGTGAATCCTGGGAACCAGGTGACAGCGCTACAGACCCAGCAGCTGAAGACTTTACAGGTAGGGTTCACTGATTGGTCTTTATAGAACAACAAAAGACATTATTGGTCAGAGTTCCTGGGATGTCTGGGAAAAGAAATTAATTATTTGGTATGATTTTCCAGGTCTTGATAAGTATGAATTTATTTTAAGTTTATATAGCGCCAAGTCACAACATACGTTGTCTCAGGGCACTGTACATAAAAAGAACAATCTAAAGAAGAAACCAGCAGATTGTGTTGAATCACTTCATCACAGTCTCCCATCCTGAGCAAACGGTGGAGAGGAAAAACTCCCTGCTAATCAGGAAGAAACCTCCAGCAGAACCAGGCTCAGGACAGGAGACCATCTGCCTCGACAGGCTGGTTGATTTTCCAAACTTTATTTCCATTTTAGCATTTCCTCTATAATTATCCAAGTGGGGTGCTTGCCCTCCCCAACAACACTGCCAGGCCTTTCTTAAAGGTCATATTTAATGTGTTGTGTATTTGCACATTATTAAAGTGCAAAATAGTAGCTAAAAGCTAAAGAATTAAAATGAGTAAAATAGAAAAGTAGCAGAAGAAGACAAATATTTAGTATGCTGAAGCAGATTCCAAAGAGAACAATAATTTTTGAAAGAACTAAACAAATTTCAATGTAATTCTGTACAGATTTAAAAAAGTTAAATACTTTTCAAAATATAAAAGTATTCTATTCACTGTTTATGTTTGAGTTGTTGTTTTATGAATCGTTAAAATATCAAAGTGTGCAGAAGTATTCAGATTTTCAAAATGTGTGTAAGAAACTATAAACAAGTAAACAATATGGATAAAGTTAAAAGTTTTTGTTTACATTATAAAACATAGTGAAGTCAACTAAGTGCAGACCATATGTTAAACAGATTTGGCTCAAGCTAGTCCTGTCGCAGATTTTGTTTTACTCCCAACAGGAAGATGGTTTTGCCAAATGAAACAGAATATGTTAATGTATTGAAGAAGGCTAGAACTTTGTCACAATGATCATTTAAGTCATTTAAAACATATTCAAGATTTTTGTTGTTGTTAAAGAGTGTTTGGACATGTTAAACAATTTCCTGCTTGTTATCTTTTGTATTTGTGTTGTACATGTGTGGAAAAAGCTCTTATATTTCAAAGATGGCCTGAAAATTGACTGAACAGTTCTACAAATTTAAGTCTGGAGTTTTAAAATGGGAAACTTGTAGGAATGAAGACTGATAATATCACTATAATTTCAAATTGTTGGAGTTTTATAATTTGCTTAGTGGGTGGAATTGTAAATAAGTTTAGTTTAGTTAAATAGTTTTATTCATATTGATTAAAAACAAATTGCGGTACAACAAAAAAACACAAATTTCATAAAATGAAAGGAAGTAGAAGAAGAAAAGAATCTTATAACATCTGCCCATATTTAACAAAAAAAATACATACACATTTATGAGTACACATACACACATTCATATATACATATCAGGGGTGCAACGATACAGAAAATTCACGGTTCGATTCGATACTTTAGTCTCAAGGTTCGATATTTTTTCGATACAAAAAAGAGAAATTTCCATTTCTATTTTAACTTGTAATTTGTTTATATTATGAACATTTGTTTAACCTCAAAAGTGCAGTTTTTAATTAATTGTTGCTGAAACGGCAAGTTTCTCAGTGGACCTGCGCTCAAAAATGCAGCCTAGGTGGAGTAGTCGAACACAGATCCACTGATCCTTCAACACAGAGCATCTTCAGAAGACAAGTTGATAAAGAAAAATTTTTAAATCTGTTTTGTTCGATACGGGTACATGTATTGTTGCACCCCATTACATATATATACATACATATATGTACATATACGCACGCACATATATAATTTTACACCCTCATCAGCATTACAAAAACATTTTTTTGATAAACCCCTCAAACTTCAGCTTCATATTTTTTCAGTAATTTAACTTTTATCATTCTACCAAATAAATTAATTGAATCAGCATTTTTATAATCGCTGTCCAAGTTATTTCTCAGTCTTATTCCTTGAACTGAGGTACATCTATCCTTCAAGTTTGTTCGAATTTTAGGTTTTACAAACATTTCAAATCCTTTCAAATTATAACAACTTTCCCTCAAATTACAGCTATATATAACAAAACTTATGTGGCGTATTATCATTACCAGGACCATATTGGTTTTGATAAAGCCACATTTTTCTTTCTCCTGACTTTTTTGTCATCACTATCTTTACAACCAGGAGTGGACATCAAGGCAGTGAGAGGCCATTGGAATGACCAAATCTATTATTAGCATGCAGACCATGAATGCAAAATATAGAAAATATAATAGTCCCTAGGAAAAAAAAAACAATTGATTGAATTATTGAAGTCTAGCCAAGCCATTACAGTATTGACATTGTGCTCACTGATAATGCTTTTTGTGAAAGTTCTACTGAAAATGTTAGTTTTCCACAGTCTGATAGCACTAGTCCCACTTTTCACTGATTATCAACATTTTTCAACAAAAACACTTGAATTTAGCCTCTTTTGCTCTGCAGTGACAGTTTTATTACTGTTTCAAAGAAAAGACAACCACAGCTATAGATTTTACATGTAGAAGAACACCTTCAATGCATAACAAAGAACATTAATATTTAGTACTCTGCGTTGTTTAGATTACCAATAGCTCTGGTTTATTTAACCTTAGCTCAGATTTATGTATTGGAATCTACATGTAGGTTCAAAGCACAGTTTGACCCTCTGAAACACACACAAGAATTAAGACACAGTACTTGTAGTTAATGTGGTTTTATTATAAAAGTAGATATTTACAAACCAAGGGGTGAGTTATGATGGTTCCAGTAATTTATGGTAAGAGTAATATGTAAATATGTTTTTATAAACCTGATAAGGGATATCATTTGCTATATCAATTGGTTAGCTATTAGCCCGACCCTAAGGAAGATTTTGGCCTTTTTCGACTTACTCTGTGCTCAATAGCTACATTTACATGGATATAAGTAATCGGATTAAACAGCCATTCAGAATAAAAATGTCATTTAAACACCCCATTCTGGTTATTCTGACCCGATTCAGCTCGATCAGAATGAATTTGTAATCGGAATGAGAGGTGGTTATGTCGACTGATAATCTGAACAGCGTGCATGTAAACACTTAATCTGATCATTTTATTCTGATTGTGGAAAACTGACCTGACTGTTCATGTCTGCTGACTTTCATCCAGCAGTTTCTGCTGTTTTGTGGAGGGAGGGACAGCAGCGCTGTAGTTAACTTTCCTCCCGTTTCCTCATTCAATAAAAAAGGAAGAACCTAGGGATGCACGTTATATCATTCATATCGGTATTGGCCGATATTGGTCATTTTTTAGAATATCGTATCGGTCCGATATGTAAAACTGAGCCGATATTAATGTCCGATATTGATTTCCCACGTTTTAGCTTTAGTTTCTGTTTTGGGAGGGGAGATGGTTGGTTGAGCAGCATCTGTTTGATCATGATAGTGACATGATGCAGCACAGCCTGGAATAACTGAAGTAGAGCCATGCCAGAGCTCTGGATGTTTATTTATGGTATCAAAACAGACTCAAGTGTGTTTGTGGGTATATGTATAATATAATTTTTGTAATATTGGTAAATATCGGTTATCGGCCATAACAGCAATAATTATATCGGATATCGATATCGGCTGAAATTTTCATATTTGCGCATCCCCAGAAGACACACAGCCTGCGCCGCATAGCAAAAATAATAAAAATCTGCGTGTCACCTACACCTCAACCAGAGTGTGCAGTAACGTCTCCACCATTATTAAAACCTGTTACAGGTCCATTCTGAGCTCAGAAGCTGTTCGTTTATGTTCATCACGGAAGTACAACTTTTGCCTGGGGTTTTTTTTTTTAGGGAAGGCTCCCACATACTCGGGCGTACTGTGCGCATTCCATGAGCCGCGCGGACTCTGCGCACATTGTCCGTGGATGTTTGACATTTCATACTCGAGCGTACTGACCCCCGGACAAATTCTTTAATTTCTCACAATTTCAGTAATGATGTCAAGGATCAGGAGGAAGAGATAGTTTGAATTTTAGCTTTAAAACTATAAAAGAAAAGAACTACCTTACTCAGGATCTGAGCTATTTCCTCCCACAAATTTGTTGCTTGCTGAAAGTCTTTATATTCCTTCATTGACGCGTCATAAAGTTTTATAATCTCCTCCATGAGACACTTTTCGAGATTTGACTCCATTTTGTCCACAAATGACACGATTCTCAACTTTATCAGCTTGGTGTCGCTCCCAGAACGGTACATGCACTGTGCGCAACGTGGATGTAAAAGATTGATCTTTGCGCGGACCAGTTCGCGGATGTCCGCTTCGGGTCCGCACTGAGTCCACCTCGAGTCCGCGTGGACCGAAGTACGCCTATGTGGGGACCTTATGTCAGTGCTTCTATTCTGAATAAAAGCCTGGTGCATGTAAACCATACATCCCGATTATTTAATCCGATATAATTGAAATACATTTCAATCCGACGGTACTTGTTTTATAAAAACATAAATTTATGCGACTCACCTGCAATTATGGTAATATATTTACACATACATGAATATTTAATTGCCCAACTACATTCTAGTTAAGGACTCCTCATGATAATTATCAATAGAATTATTATTGATAATAAGTGATCAGAACTGTGTGCAGCAGATGATCTGAGTCCAGAGTTCTCAGTTTGAAACCTTCTGGAGCTCTTCTGTGTGACTCCAGGTGTGACA